CTGAACAATCAGGTCATTTCCAATCAATATAATACCACCCGTTATAGGCTGAGTGCCATATTTTAGGAATACATGATCAAACCTTAGGAATACATTGCAGCTGAATAAAAGCTGCACACCTGACATCTGCATATATCTGCAGGTGATTTGGGTGCCACAGTGGTTGTCTGCACACATGCACTTGTCTGAACTGAAATATACATAAGTGTCCCCAAATGCTTTCAATGTAGAAGCTGACTCACACACAGCTGTAGGAAATTATGATGTATTTTTTGATGATCCCTTACTTTTTGTTTTATAATAAGCCTTCACAGCACCTGTTTTATTATTGTCAGAATGACTGAGAATGAGTCATTTGTGAAGCCAGTGTGTTTGCATGAGTGCAGCAGTAAATGTGTGTGTGTGTGTGTGTCAGCAAGAGAGGGAAAAATTCCCAAAGTTCAGAAGCTAAACTAGGTGCATTTATAACCTTACTCACTTAGTACCGGTCCTCTTTGAGCCCTCAGCTGATCTTCAATTCGTCTTCTCCCAGTTTTTTTTTTTTATTACTTTTATACCCAAATATGCGTCAGTACATATTATTACAAGCAAACCAGTCAGACAGCGTGCAAAATCCCCTAGATGCCTTCTGGTCTCTGGAGAAGTCCAAACTGAGATAGGCTACTAAAGCGCAGAGATAAACATGATGTAACAGCAGGAGAGGCAGGTGATGATTGTCTTAACAGATTGAAGAAGCCCTCCAGAGTGACAGAAGAGGAAGTCGCTATTTAAAATTTTGAATTTGAATGTACCATCTAATCAAAGCTGCGCGCGCCACACAGCAAAACCGAAAACACCAAGTTGCGCTCAAAGGCACTCACACCGGAAACAGTTCAACTGACAAAACCATAAAGCATCACATCTCATAAGTTCTTTCAGTGTTGACTACAGCGCATGATTCTTCTAAATACAGATTTTTAAACTGTTTTCATTATTCCTCACATATAAAGCAACAATCGGCGTTTTCAAACATTTCGGAGACAAAAGTTAGATTGCAAGTTAGTTAGGACGCCTACCCAAAGTTAAAAAGACTCTCGCGATGAGAAATCGTGTTCGCGTTCGCGGAGATAACCATAGCAACAGTACGCGACTCGTGTACTTTTCGTGAGGATCAGCATCGGACGGAACATTGACAAAATATAAACAGCCTAATGGCCACTTGACCATATATTTGCACATCACAGGTTTATAACAAAAGTTTGTGTTTTGTTTAAAATGTTTAAATATAGTTGACGTTTGACTAAGTATGGGGCACCAGAAAAAGGGTTGCGCTATAGACTGCACCCCTCAATGTTCTGGAGAAATTCATCAGTAATAACAATAGAAAATAATGAAACCAAATCAAATCTAGAGAATAAATAGGATAACACCAAACAAAAATGTTCGTTATCATCATGTTTTTGTCTCTCCTTGAAAAACAATGGAATTAAACGCATTAGGTTTGTATGACACTAACCTGGGATGCGTGCTGAAGCATGAAACAAACACTTGCAAGTTTTCCCTTACTTCCATAAATGGTAGGCATGTTGAGGTCGATTGTTCAGTTGTCCATTTTGGCAGGTACAGAAGCGCAGCACCGCGCGCCGCGTGAGAACGAGCGTCAACAGGTCACGCATCAGAGGCACGGTCGGTGTTTCTGTGGAAGCACGCGATGGGCGGAGGCTGACGGACAGAAGGATCGGCGTTGTCACCGAAACATCGCGTCAGAGGGCTATGACGGCGATGAACTGAGATGCTCGTAGAAACACTCATGCGTAAGCAAGGGGATGAGGGAAACAGAGTCACCGAGAAGCTGAAGCATCAATACCTCTGGGAAATACCTCTGGGATCTATCTATCTGTCTATCTGTCTGCCTGCCAGTCAGTCAGTCTGTCTATCTATCGTATGCTTGAAAGGGAGACCGCACCTATCATCAGTGATGATTTTAACAAAGCAAACACAAAATATACAAGATATAGAGCTTAGCCCTTAGCCCTCTCTTAAGAGGAAGGAAGAATGGAATGCAAACTGTTACATACCCACAGAAAAGGATTAGGCAAGAAATGACTTCCACTGAATTTCCAGATGTGTTTGAATGTGTGCTGAGATAGAGAGATGTGTTACTCACTGCAGACTCCCAGATCTGTTGGTGTGCATCTCCCCCCACATTGCTTCATACATTTCACTGAAAAGAAAGATAAACATGCAAAAAGAGCCTAGCAGCATTAAGCATATTAATGTATCATGAAAGCCCGGAGACAATGTATGGTGATGCTTAGGGAGACATGCACTTTCTGTCTGTGAACTGATTTTTCATTCACTCATCAGTGCAGCATGGCTTTTGTTTGTGTCTGTGTGAAACTTGCTATAACTCTTCCTGACATCTGACACACACAACCTTGTCCAACATGGAAACATTAGAAGACTAAAAATCCTAAAATTACCGATTTCCGATACCTTCTAGCTATCTTGATTTGTTGTTTTCCAAAAAAATTATGTATAGGTTTGCACTGGGTGTGTTCGAGGTTGATCAGCTTGACTCCTTGCTGTCTTGTTTATAGAAAACACAGTCATTTTCATTCTACAACATATGCACACAGAGATCCAAAAGAGCCAGAATGAATTAATATAAATTTGACAAATTTTTGACATACATAAAAAACTGCCCCCTTAATTAAACCTACTCTATACAATATATTTTCATAAGGAAATGTGAGTGGTACTTTCCTGTGCAAAACTCACTGCCATGATGCCATGGGGGTTTTAGGGTGTGGATTTCTGTCTGGCCTAAATAAAAAAAGTCAACCCTCTGATCTTTATGATATTGTGGCTAGATTTGGCTCAGGTCACTGGTTTATTGTTAAGTCTAAGGGACATTTTCATCCATTATATTGTGCACCAGATGAAAATAAGTCTGATCACAAAGAAAAGTAATAACTTACCAATCAAGCTGCATGATTTAAGGTGATTTGCAACTCATCATGCACAAATAGTGTTTGTCTGCATGGTAGTGACAGAAATGCCCCAGATGTGCAGCTGTTATTTCTTTTGCACAGTCGTGGTTTCATTACTCAAAGCGTTCTTCTTATGACCTCTCAGTCATTACTCACCCTCATGAAAAGAGAGCCACACCTGGAGGAAGAAAATAATCAAAAACAGATTGAAACCGAAAAAGTGCAAGCACCGTGTGTGAGAGAGGCAGTGTCAGAGAAAGATACCAATAAAGTATTACAGCATGCACTATTTAAAAAACAAAAATCACACAGAAGTGAAAAATTTGGAATAAAATTAATCAGTGAAGCTTGTTTGAATCTAAAGCACTTACAAGCATTTGACAAAGCGATATGCTTGTGTTTGAGAGTTTAAGGAAGAATGAATGTGCATCTGAGGTGTTTTTGTACAGGCAGAATATTTTCTTGAGTTACAGTTGTCCCTCCTACACAAAAGGGAACAGATGAACAATGCACACTGTTGTCATAAATTAATTGGGGGAAAAACTATCATAAATCTGTAATGTATAGCAATAAACATGCACAGACTTCTATTTGTGTCTTTACATATAGTATTGCATTTACATTTAATGCAGAACCATTGAGATGGGCAATAAAATATAGACTGTTCTCATTATCTCAATCTCATATAGACTGCTTATTATTTAACAACACTCTTAGCTCAGATGGTGGCATTAATGTATTTTACAAACAGACACACTGATGATTTTTTTAAATAGGCAAAGACAAATAAACAGGACACTTAGAAAACTAGAGTGGGTAAGAGAATACTTCAATGTAAAATTGAATCAAAATGTTTAAAGAAATTAAAAAGGGGCGAGGGTCCACCTAGAGAGTTTTCTGGAAGGAAATATTGCAAGGGCTACAGCTACTAGAGATGATGAGTCTGGGGGATTGTGGGTAGTCCCATGGCAGGCTTGTTAAGACATGAGGTTCTGCCCTCCCAGCAACAGAGGGGTTGCTTCTCTCCTTCAGCTGACTCTTGAGACGAACACTGAACCTCCACTGGTATCCATGGTGACCCATTGGGAACTCAGATTCCTCTAGGTAGCTAGCCAGATGATTCAGGAGGGAGAAGGAGTGAGTGGTAAACTGGAAAGGAAAAGTGGTGGTCTATCCAATTTGACCATAGTTTTGATAAATATTTCAGTTTCTCCATTCATGCTCATGCTGATTTAGATTATACTTTGTTACTCTGACTGTGCCAGTTTACTGTTACGCATGACTCAGCGCTTGTTCATCAAAAATTTGGCACTAAAGGTGTTATGGTTCTTTACTGTCATTTGCACAGGGTAACAGTTTACACTGTAGGCTATAACTAAATTCCATTGACACTATAAGCAAGAATTGCACAGAACAGAGAAATAAATAACATACTGAAATTTAGAAAATAAAATAGCAGGAAAATGCATAGCTAAATGTATACTCTTTTTTATTTTATATAAAAGATATGGAAGTGTCTGGTAATGCATTTTTTGAAAAACATGGCAAAATAATGAGATGTATATATGTGCAATATATTCTCAGTACCGCAAGCACAAGTTGTATAACATGTATGTTCAAGGTCTATGTTGTGCAATAGGAGGATGGTCTTTGGATGGAAAGCTATAGTGTTTAGTGGGTTGGTGGGATTAGTGAGAGAGAGGTGATGGGTGAGAGTCATTTATAAAGTTTTGTGGCTTGTGGGAAATTCTCATCTTAGTTATTGGTGTCACACACGGTAATATTAAAGCTACACTACAGTTCAAAATTTTTAGGGTCAGAAAGATGACTGATTAATACTTGATGATGCATTAAATTGACCAAAAGTGACAGTAAAGACATGTATAAAGTTACAGAAGATTTCTATTTGAAATAAATGCTGCCGAAGATCCTGAAAAAATTTGATCAAAGTTGCTCCAAAAATATTAATCAGAACAACTGATTTCAATATTGATAGTAGTAAGAAATGTTTCTTCAGCAGGATGGATTTCTGCAGTCTTCGCTAAAGGATGGGGTCGTCCTGTGCAGGTTGCTGGAGCGGCTGCGTCCAGGCACTACTGATAAAGTAAGCGCGCATCCTCCCTTTGGCGCACCGTGTGCATTTCCCTGTAATCTTCACACTACACACGCGTTGATATATATATATATATATATATATATATATAACACAAGTGGCATATATAGTGTATGTTTTATAGGTCACAACAGATGTTTTAATCCTCTAGCTATATGAATGAAAACGCAGCCCATGCAGCAGAGGCGTTCAGCGCGCTAGTGCTGCTGTTGCTCCAGGAAACAACAGTCGTCGATTTTATTGCGAAAACCATATCATACCATACCACATGTCATATTTCATAGAAAACCAGTAAAATGTGGATATCAACAGCATGTATGTAAGATGTAAATAATAACCTGCTTAGTATGCCATTGGAACCTGCGGATAAGCGCGTGCAAATCGCATTACATGGCTGTGTATGAATAGCATTAATCTGTTAGGTATTATCAAGGTTAGCTATGCACCCTTGCTTATATTGCTTACACTGGAAATGGGCCGCCATAGACCGTAAACGAAAAGCAGATGCGCTCTCATTTAAAGAAACAGTGTTTTTTTTAAATTCCCGTAAATCCCTTCTTCTTTCCAATGCAATGCAAACTGGAAAGGCATAACAAATGGCATTCAACTGCAGTTCAACACACGTTGTTTTCTTATCTCAACCAAATTGCACAGAAATAATCAGAATGCAATAGCATTAAACCACAAAATAACTCAATTCATAGTATCAGAGTGAAAAGTAATATATTCCACTGAACAAGATACCTAAGGGTAAATGCAAATCTATGAAAGGCATAAAGATTTTAAAATGCCTCTCAGAGGGAACAGAATTCAAATTAGAAATGCATTTTTTTCTATAATTAAAGGCAGCACATGACCATGCAGGTATAATGTTATCCAGCATGTTTTCTAAAGCAGTTCGTCTTATCCATAAATAATGCATGGAGTTTGTCCTTCCTGGTTCTGGTTTGGTGTATACAGAGGGGGTGCGTTTTAAGAAATCAGTCACATTCAGGGTCAGCTCTGACAATGACTCAGAGTCTATGACAGCAATAACCTCTTTTCAAGCTCCATCTGGTTTGCTTATCAAATTTCACACTCTCACTGTGAACATAACAATAGGATGTTTACAGCAGGTGTATAACCTGGCAAGAGAGCTATGTGGAAGTAGTAGTAAAAAAAAAAGTTTGCATATTTAAAGTGGAAAAATAAATAGTGCACTTGACCTTTTTAGACGGTGTGGGCAGAAGCATCATGTTTCTGTTGGGACTGTCCACGTGACCAGTCAGAGTGCAACAGAACTAACCTGTTATATTCAACTGTCATTTAATGCAACATAAAAATACACACACAACCTGTGTGAGTCACAACTTGTGTGACTCATGCCGCTTCCTTTATTATCAGCACATAAACATTGATGTTTTGACCCACATACCTGTCACAGTATTTTTGATCAAAATCTAAAATTGTGCAATAATTGAACAAAATGATCTTACGCACTTAATTCTTCTGGTAAATGCTCTGTGCAATAATGAGAACAAGTCTGTCTCTTGCTTTTATGTATAAGCCAGATTTGTCTCAAAATTTAGACTCCTGCAATGGGCAGTTACTGCCATTACTAGATACGTTACCCCATTTTGTATCTCTAAGAATAGAATATATTTTAAAGAAAAGATGAGAGTGTTCAGACATAAGGCGTCCTGACAATTCACTACAACATGCAAATATATGCTAGCTTCAGCTGTTAGGCCCCCTGACTTAAAATGAAGCATCCATTTCCTAGCTACAGTACAGTCTTAGGTATCATTTGCAGCTTCTAATAGGATGACACTGCAAAGGAAAGCTTTATTGACAGTGCGAGCTGATTTGCTGAGAGATGTTCAAGAATGAAAATATAAGCAAATCAAATTGCACTTTCATACAAATATTTTCATTTCTGATTTGAACAAAAGTCATGGGTTTGGAACAACGAGGGTGAGAAAGATGACAATTTTCAGTTTTGTAGAATTACACCTTTGTAAATTATTGAATGAAATGCGTGTAACTGTACGTCTAACTGTAATTCACATGTAAATGTAAAAATCTACAGAATATATTTGTTACATGCAAATATTATTTGCATTTGACTCAATTTGGGGAAACTAAATAAAACAGAAAGAAGGCGCCCGAAAGAATGGGGCAGATTCCCAGTCAGAGAGTAAGCCTAGTCCTAAAATGTCCATTTGAACCAGATTAACAGAAATCTGCTTTCACTGTCATGATTTTAAATAGTCTTAAACTTAGTCTAGTCCAGAATTTAAAAGGTTGATTTCCTGAAGGAAGACTAAAGCTACCTCAGGACTAAATTGAGGCTTAAATTAAACCTACCAGGAGGCAGGTTTAACTTCAGATTAACGTTGTGTTTTCAGTCTTTATATATCAAACATATTGGCACCCTTGGTAAATATGATCAAAGAAGCATGTGAAAATAAATTTGCACTGATTTTTTATTTAAACACACACACACACACACACACACACACACACACACACACACACACACACACACACACACATGTTGTGTTTCCATGTTTTATGGGGACATTCCATAGGCGTAATGGTTTTTATACTGTACAGACCGTATATTCTATTGCCCTACACCAACCCTACCCCTAAACCTACCCCTTACAGGAAACTTTGTGCATTTTTACTTTCTCAAAAAAACTCATTCTGTATGATTTATAAGCTTGTTTCCTCATGGGGACCTCAAAAATGTCCCCACAAGGTCAAAATTTACTAGTATTACTATCCTTGTGGGGACATTTGGTCCCCATAACGTGATAAATACCAGCTCACACACACACACACACACACACAAAACCCTAAACTTTAAAATAGCAAAATGGTAGGGAAGGGAAATCTCATTATGACAGCAATGTTTTTCTCTTAATACACACTGGCTACAATTACTTTACTCTTGCAACCTTCTTTTGCCAAGATAACAGCTCTGAGTCTTCACCTATAATGTCTGATGAGTTTGGAGAACACCTGACAAGAGATCGGAGACCATTATTTTATACAGTATCTCTCCAGATCCTTCAGCTTCCCAGGTCCATGTTGACACACTGTCCTCTTCAGTTATATATAGGGTTCAGATCAGAGGACTGGGATGACCATGGCAGAACCTTCATTTTGTAACCAGTGGCCCATTTTTTTTTGTTGATTTTGATGGTCTTTTTAGATCTGATGGAAGATCCAAACAAGGCCCATTATAAGATTTTAGGCAGAGTCAGTCAGGTTTTGATTTTTTATCTGTTGGTATTTGCTAGAATCCATGATGCCATATATCTGAACAAGATGTCCAAGACCTCCGGCAGAAAAGTAGGCCAACAACACTAAAGATACAGCAGTATATATTCATTGTACACATGGAGTACTTTTGATCCCTGTGTGCAACAAACCTACCTTGAGTGTTTCCTGCAAAAAGAGCTAATTTTTTTTACGTTCATCTGACCATAGAACCCAGTCCTGTTTTAAGTTCCAGTAGTGTGTGGCAACTGAATATGCTGGAATTTGTTTTTGAATGAAAGTAGAAGATTTTTCTTCAAACCCTCCCAAACAACTATTGGTAGGTGTAGGTGGTGTTTGAAATGTTTTTTTTTTGTTGAGGTTTTCTGACCCCAAGACTCCTTGCAGAGTCTTCAGCCACTCAAACTATAATTTGTTACATTTAGTGCTTTTCTGGGTACTCAAAGGGGGGACATGAAAGGGGGGAATCTCCTCAACCACCACCAGTGTGCAGCATCCACCTGGATGATGCGACGGCAGCCATATTGCGCCAGAATGCCCACCACACACTAGCTTATTGGTGGAGAGGAGATCATTGTCCTAATGGTGGAAATGGAAATTTTCAATGCTTTAGCTATTTTCTTACTTTTATTTATTTATTTTTACTTTCTATTTTGTTGACTTCGTATTTTGTATAGGTCAATAATCTGTTGCTGTACATCAGAACTATATTCTTTGGTTTTTCTCATTGTGATGGATGATTAAGAGAATTTGGCCTTTGTGTTCCTCATATTTAAACTCCTGTGAAACAGGAAGTCATGGCTGGATAATTGCATGTTCCTAGTCACCCTGGTGTGCTAACAAATGTAAATATGAATGGAAATATAGATCTTCTGAGATTTTACTTATAATAATTTCTAAGGGTTTTATTAAAGGGTTTTATAAAAAATGTTTAAAAGTTTTAAAAACTTATTTACTTATTTATTATTTACTACTTTTTTTGAAATATCAAAAGGATAAACAATACAGATTTATTTTCACAATCCTCTTTGATCATATGTACTTAGGGTGCTAATAATTCTGACCATGACTCTCTCTCTCTCTCTATAACAGCTGCATTATATATAACATAATAAAAAATAATAATAAAAATGTTGCAAAACTGACAACACCTGATTGCAAGATTGCAGTTTATTTTGCATGCTTTAAAAAAAGTTTCCTCATGTTCAGTAAAGTTTTTTTCTTTTTTTTGATTATGGTCTTTTTTTCTGCTGCCATTGTTTTCCTTAGAACTGCTTCTCAGTTCCATACAATTCTAAGCTTGTCTTGGTTCATTCCATGTTTTATAGGCAACCTCTGTCATGCTAATTCAGATTAGCACAGCTGTTTTTAAATTAATCTAGTTTATTTTAGTACAGGACTCCATAGTCCAGGAGTTAGTAATCTGTATTTAATCTGTGTTTCAGAAAGCCATTTTTAAAGACATGATTAATTATTCTAGATTAAGCCTACTCCAGAATTAATTTAAACCTTGTCTGAGAAACCGCCCCTGTGACTGAGCACTGCATTTCTTGTAGATACTGTTATTCCTATGATTATTTCACAGAAGGCTCAGTGGCTTGGCAGGCATCCCCCATTAAAAAATATACAAGGATTCCTTTTAACCCCTTTTATCCAAATCTGATAATTTTGTAGTGTGAAAACGAGAAACAGATTGCCACACTGGCAGAACCCTCTGGAGAACC